ACACACACACAAACACACACACACACACACACACACACAGAGACACACACACACACACACACACACACACACACACACACACACACACACACACACACACACACACACACACACACACACACACACACACACACACACACACACACACACACACACACACACACACACACACACACACACACACACACACACACACACACACACACACACTTATCTGACATACTTACCTGCATTTCCTGGACGAAGATTTGCTGCTTGCTGTCATGGGCAGGTGTAAAGAGATAAGACAAACACATACAAACAAAAACACACAAACGACACAAGTGCCTCCTGGAAATCTCCATCTTAATATAAATATGAACATCATTTATCACAGATTTGTTAGCATCAGAAAAAACATGAGGACAACATGTAAAGACCAGTCTTTATTATACCAAACAGCCCATTTGTTCATCATAAATAAACCCGTTGATTGCTATTTTCCATGATAAGAATTCTTTAATTTAACTATACATTTGGCCATTTCATCCTCCGACAGAGAGAACTTTGACGTCTAAATCAATAAAGTTACGATCAAAAGAAGCAAAGACGTAAATAAACCTTCAACCCTTGCCATCTATATACATAATGACATGATCAGTGCGGAAATAAAAAAGGCATCCCTGCTATGTGATAGCAAAGCAAAATCAAAATGACATGACGCAAGAAATGGACACAAGACACAAAAAAATAGAAGGTTCAGGTAAACAAAGAAGAAAGCACACAATTACTTAATTTGGAAAAGTCATGAACAAATACAGCAGATTCCTTCCTCTGTTGGCAGAACACCGGAGTGCTGAAACGTTTCCCTCCTGGGTGGAATGATGACTGATTTGGACTCAGGCATTTGGGTTTTTCTTCATCAGCAGGACGTCTGCATCCACCATCTCCTTCACCAGCTCCTGCAGAGGGACACCGTGCAGGCACAAGTTAACATGTAGTTACATTTAAAAAAAAAGTAACTTTAAAGATGAACCAGTCTTTTCAATGAAATAAATCTCTCGACTTCGTCTTTAGTTATCTACACTGTGGTTTATATCGGGCCTGCTATTAATGAGGATGCCAACTCTATTCAGTGCCAGCAATAATTCAATATTAGCATTTATTGACTTTCAGCCAAAATGTATTTGAAGAATGACTGATGATTATTGCTGGATATTACAGCTCCATATTTTCTATACTGCACAGAATACTGTGAAGTACCAAAAACCGTCTTCGAGTGTCAGCTCAGAATTCGGGTCAGTTTTGATTTCATTCAAAATGTTGCTAATCTTATACCATATTTTATTAAGGCAATGTTCTCGTTTGGCTGCTTGTGGACTCTTTTTTTACTTTCATAGAAAACTATGTCTCAACAAATGATACCTCTGGTATCCGTGTCATACCAACAGTCACCCAAAAACTTAAAACAATACACATTCCTTTACTCACTACACTACCCTGTTATTGTCTACTCAATTCTGCTCTACATTCATGCTTGTAAGGAAATAGCAACAAGATGTAATTAAAAAACTAAAATAGTTATTTGAGTCTAACTGTGGAGACTTTTGTCTGATTTGTTTTTATGTACATGTGGCTTTGCATACCTTTGTCATATTTTGAGATGTATTGAAAAGATATTTTATCATTTAATTTGATTAAAACCCTTTCCAAAAAAGGAAGTGATTTTATAGTCCTTCTCATATAACGTACGGTCAGCTGGCATCAGGCTGACTCAGGACATGATGACTCTGAGACATGACAGTAGGCCTGGACTCGTACTCTTTCTGCTGCTCCTTCATGTGATGGGCCTCAGTAGTCTTAGCACAAAAACTACACTCACGTTAAGAGTGATTTCACATCCTTCATCTCACTATCCCACCCACCTACTCTGATAACCCCGCCCACCTTCTACATATGTAAAGAAATACAGACTCATAGATACTTGGTCCCCCTTTCTTTCTTTTTTTATATCTGTCACAAATCGTTATAGGCCTTCAAATATATAATTTTTATCTTTGGGCATTGTCCTTTCTGTGGCTCAATTACAGTATATTTCATCAAATCATTCCCCGTATGTACTCGTGTGTCAAAAATATCATTAATAGCATATTGATTTCATCCACATCATCCAGCTCATCAGATGTGTGACACGCACCTCAAAAGTGACCTTTGTCTTCCAACCCAACCTCTGATATGCTTTGGTGCTGTCGCCTTGCAGGTAGTCCTGTTAAAAGGAAAGAAAGAGGAGAGAGAAAGGGAGGGAGAGGGGGAAAGAGAGAGGGGAGAGAGAAAGGGAGGGAGAGGGGGAAAGAGAGAAAAAACAAATCATCCGTCATGTCTGATGTGATGCCCACGGGGAGGAGAACCCTGCAGCCAGCTGATGTGTTGTCCTCAGATGAAGACATACTGGATTTAACTCAATGTCCAAACCTGACGTCTGCAACAGGGTGCAAAGGATGGAAGGTGATTCTCTCTCTCTCTCTCTCTCCCCCCCCCCCCCCCCACACACACACACACACAGTATCTCCCCTCTCTCGGGGAAAAAGGGAGGTCACAGAGTCTCGCTGGCCATCAATCGCCCCTCTCGGCTCCCCACCACCAATCTGTCCAGACGGCCCCCGTCGGTGCCAGAGGATGATGAATTGTGGGACTCTGGTGGTGTAACCCCCAGTCCAGGACCCCCCACTCACCTTCCCCCCCTCTTCCACCCCTAACTCATTTCCCCCCCTGTTGTGTTTTGCACCGGGTTCAAGATCCAGCGAGACCCTTCATGAGACCACCAAAGAGACCGAAAAAAAGAAAAACTTTCCCCTGTACGTCCTTTATGTTTGTAAAGCTCTCTCTCTCTCTCTCTCTCTCTCTCTCTCTCTCTCTCTCTCTCTCTCTCCCACTTCTATTTCCAACTCAATTTCATCTCTCAGGCATCATCCGTATTAAGTTTGTATCAGAAACGCACTTGTTGGCCTCGAGGGGTCTAATAAAACGTGATGAATCTCCTCTTTCAATGAACTGATACTGTATGTTCCTTAATCCTGCAGCTGATTCCAAAGTGAACGACTGCTCCGAGAAAACCCCGAGTTGAAAAGTCAACAAAGACTTCTATTTTTCTTTCTTTTAAAGTTTTTTTTTTTCTTTCTTGTAATCTTTAACAGTCGTGGCTTTGATGCTTTCTCAAGAAACGCGTGGTGGTCTCCCCCTTTCTTTCTTTGTTGTTTTCCCTCTGCATGGAGGTTGTATTTATATAAACTATATCGCCAAAAGTATGTGGACACCCGGGCATTTCACTCACGTGTGATTGCTGAGCATCTCGTTCCCAAACCATGGACATTAATTGCTGCTACAATAGCCGACGCACTTCTGGGAAATCTTTCTTCAAGGTTTAAGAGCCCGACTGCAGGAATTTGCTTCAATTCAGCCACAAGAGCATTCAAGTTGATTGATACTTGTGCATTAAGGAGTTACAGGGTAGCTACGCAGCATATATGCACAGAGCTGCTTCAGCTGAAGTGCCCCTGCTGAAAAATACGTACGTCTTAATGGTGTGTTGTGTTATGTGTGTGTATGTACATTTGCTGTACTTGGGAAAAGCCAAAGACACATTTCCATTGAGGTGGAAAATAAAGACGATTTAATCTAATCTAATGCCCGTACAGAATTTTGTGAGCGAAGACAGCGTGTAGCAAAATGGAAATGCAGTTATCCTCTCCTTTTTGGTGACACACATCTAGCCAAGCCAACTCCCCTACACATGCTATCATCACTCTCCATCATGGCGAATCACAGGACGTAAATATGCCAACTGCTCTGAATAGTCTGATACTCTCTAATGAATGAGGGCAGACCTTCCCGCTGACTGATTCCAAGCTGTGAAGTTCTTCCATCGAAAATACAATATATGATGACAAACCTACTGGATCTTGTGCAATAATTGCATTTATTCTAGTGCAATAATTATATTCACACTATAGCAATTGTTGATTTGACTGTTTATTTTAGAGCCTGTGTTGTCGGGATGTATGTTTGCAGAAGTTGTTTTGTTTTTCCTGTGTGTCTTCAGGACTAGCGCTCCTAATTCCATTGTAAGGACAAGAAAGGCTTTCTATTCTATTGTATTCTATTTATGGACCTGACCTAGCCCATTATCATGTTGAAACAGGAAAAGGGTTTTCCCCCCACACAGTTGCCACAAAGTGGAGGCGCATTTTGGGTGATGTGTCATAACATTTCCATTATGAACCAATATGCTTTGCCCGATCCATGAAGAACAGCCCAGAAGTACACAGGCGTCAGGCGGCCATATAGTGAAAGAAAGAGAGCAGTGTGTGTTATCTGACGTTGAACCTCTTGAAAATGTCTTTTCTGGGTGATCTTATTACAGAGGAACGCTCACAGGGGCACTGGCATAGTTCAGCCTTTTTAGAGAGCAGGGACCCACATCTCAGGGAGGCTCCACGCCGCTTAATCACAGTCTTCTGATTACACACACACACGGAGAACAAGCACAGGCTGATTCCGTCTGCGACACCGCTCGGTTTGAAAACCTGGTTCAGTTCAGGGTGTTTTTTTTATTACTTTTGGACATCACAGGGTGCACATGCAGATGAAAGCTACTGGGCCTTTTCCTGTAACGGCAGCACAAGCAGCTCTTTCTCATGTGAGCAGCTCTGTACATTACTCACATCCATTTCTGGCTCCGAAGCCATAACTGGAAACATTTTCAGACTAATGACCTACAGCAACGAGACATAGTTAATCATGGGGCCGAATGTAATTATTATAGGGTGACTTACTCCACAATTACATTAAATAATCCACTTGCTTCATAATTATGTTGATTAGGGTTTGTAATGGTGAACATTTTCAAGCTGGCATAAAAGAAACATCGACTGGTCTCCTCACGAACACTGAAGCCGGTCTGAAGTCAAGTGTTACGCACAAATTCATTTTGTTTTGTGGAAAATAAACCCGGTTAAACATTTGTGCTTCTATGTCCCTTGTTGATTGGTTGCTAAATGCAAAGAGGGCGGGTCTTATCTGGTATGAGCCTGTCAGAGGCCAATGCCAGAAAAAGGAGAGGAAAACAAATGCAGGAAAGTTGGCATGCTGCAGAGCAGTGAGAAGAAAAAGACTCTGAAGCAGCGTTTTGTTTAGTTTCTGTCTGCGTGCATATGTAAATCAAATGAAGTGAAATAAACTCAGAGCTGTGACGTAAACGCCAGGCGGCAACCTCCGGCTCTGAAGAGCGATGCCATGAGGAAGTGCCTTAAACGCGAATCAATGGGTAACGTCACTGTGACTACCTCCACCTCTCATATGCCGTCGATGGTTGATGCCAAAAGACGATGTGAGGAGTGAAAGAACGCCCACGGGAGAAGACCCCCGGCAGGAGAACCCTACCTTTAATGTATGCAGTGACCTTCAGCTACCTGCTATGTGTGTAGCCTCAGTCAAGGTGCCATCCATCTGTCACTCACTTCAACTGAAGCCAGAGCAACTGACAAATATAAAATGAAGAATGACTGTTTTTAGTTCAGCTCCAATTGGTTCCAGCAGACTAACAGGTAAAAGTTTGCTTTCGCCGAACTTTAACTAGTGAATTTGCGTAGGCGACCAATATGAGTGTTGTCTCACAAGTCATCTAGAGACCTGGAGACATGAAATAGGCCTGACTGTCGAACCTTTCAGATTTGTTATTCATGTAAAGTTCTTGTAATGCTGCTTGTGATTAGGACATTAAACACTGAGGAGTCTGGCACACTTTGTTCGTTGGATTTTGTAGAAAAACAAGTTTATATTCTTTAAACTAAGGTATCTCCAATATTGAAACATTGAAAGTGATACGCAGCGCCAACAGGAAGCGGTGTACCTTGTATTATCATCATATTTGTCATCGTCATAGTCACGCCCGATCTCTGAAATCTCCATCTAAGCTTGGTAGGAGAACATCTGTTGAAATCAGACTCTTGTGTGCCAAGTCTGCCGTCTTAGCACACAACCACACGGTTCAGCATCCAGGAAGCTAATCCGGCGCCTGGTCTTTCTCAAGCAGGATTTCTGCAGGTGACAGACAATCTCACCCTCGCAGATCCGTCTGGAGAGCGCGGCTCACTGGAATAAAAAGCTGCTTCCAAACTGCTAACAAGAGCGTTCTGCGGCCAAGTGAACTCACCCCAAACACAGCATGTAGCAAATAATTCAAACACAAACTACTAACAGATGCGGGGGCACAATATAATCGTCATATGGATCCGATTTTGAACCAAACCCAACATTTTGGTATATCCTGTTTAAGAGCAGCGCTCTGCCCATGTCTGAAACTACGCAGCAGCGGTAATAACAACAACTAGAAAGCCGAAGATTAGCCGTGACAAGATGTGTCCCTCACCCTGCGAGCATTAGAAACATTTTAGAGATTATATTTCAATGTGTGCGCTATACGCCCGCTCACCATCTGAGACCACATTACAGGCCGGTGAGTGAGCATCACGGGCCCCGAGCACCGATGTGCATCCTGAGCAGGAAGTAAGATGGGGGAGAACGCGTATGCAAATGCTTTCATACCAGAGCCAAAGTTGGAAAAATTGAGAGCAGAGTTTTATTTGTTATGATGTGTCTGATGGGTTCAGAGCAGGCACAGTAGTGGCACACATGAGTATTTGTTTTTGAAAACGATGGATGTAACTCACTACGACAGTATCCATTCGCTTCAGTGGTTGTTGCTATACAGAAGATCCAAAAAGTGATTCAAGTCGCTAAATTAATTCAAGACGAAGCTCAAAAATTTGCAAAATAAGCTAAAGTTCTGATTGGCTGTTTTATAGCAATGCCCTCAGGTAGTCACATTATCTTTTACTGTTGTCAAGTACAGAATTGCCTGAATTTATTTGTCAATAAATCAGCTTCATTTTCAATCACTTGCTAATTGGTAGAACTGACAAATCAACCAGGAGACTTTTATGACTCTCCGAGCGGTAGTAACGCTCAAGTGGCTCACCGGGGACAAATGAGAGCTGACATCTGCTCCTCAATGGATGCTCTCGTGGTGGTTGGTGATATCGGGGAGTTGAAACATGTTTTAAGTCCATATGTTATGTTAATCTGAAAAGGATCTTGTTTTGGCCATGCTAAATATGACTTTTGCCACTCAGAAGAAAAGACAGAAGTAGCATAACCTTATACTGGAAAATGTCTTCGTGAGGAGGACAACTAACTAACTGTGACTCT